TTCAAATAAAAAATAGCAAATCCCTAAAGATGCAAACAAAATAGAAAAAAAATATTCACAACAAATGCAATACCAATGCAACTAAACCACATGAAGGTAATATGTTAATATAATATAATGTGTGTGTGTGTGTGTGCATGTCTTATGTATATATATATATATATATATATATATATATATACATATCAATCTATCTATCTATTTAAACAAAGCTATAAAATTTGATAATATATAAAATAAATATAAAAAACTTCCCAGAATACATTGTTTCAAACTTCCAAACAATTAAAATATCCAACCTAGTCTCAGAATGAATAATCAAAAACAATTGATCATCAGCACACATGTCAAAGAGAGGCACTATTTAAAAAAAAAACAAAAAAAACTTTATGCATGTACTTTGTGCAAGGAACTCAGACTTGGTGTGAATGGGCCTTACAGAGCATGTATAGTACTATAGTAAAGAGCAGTGGACTGCACACCTACTCAGTTGCTATGGGCTTTACTTGTTCCCTCTCTCCATCTCCTCTCCTCTTCTTCCGCCCATCACTGCATTTTTTATCTTTACACCACATCCTGACATGATGTATGTTTCTGTCTGTGTATAGACATCAGTGTTGCTCTGCAGGAATTCACAGGAAAGGAACCGATCCTCCACAGAAGTTCCGCAACCTCAGCGTTCCAACTCCAAAATAATGGCCTGCTTATGAGGAGAACAGGAGGAGGAGGGATTACCATGGCAATGGGGGATGCCGAAACAGCTGCGAGAGTCCGGGCACATGTCATAAATCCTGTAACATGGTTAGCTGGTATGTACATGAGTGGGTGAAGTGAACCTGCGATGGGTCACTCCAGAGTTCAAAGCTCAAACACAGCTGCTGCCCCCCTCCAGAGACAGAATGTGATGGGGGGTAACAGATCCCACCCTTACAGCCCATTCCACACATGCCTGTGAGAGCCGTGTTAACTGCCATCAATTCATAGCTACACATTTACAAAAAACAGCACAGACACTAGAGGATCTTCTTACCGGTTCTCACCTCTCAAACAAATAAACACTATAACACCACCCCATGTAACCTCGGGACATGAGTCACTGGATACTTTTTCTCTTTCAAAACACAAAAATGTACCACAAGTTCCTTTTTTACATTTTCTGAAGAAAATATGACTGATACCTGCCCTGTGCCCCTGTGCGATTTCTAGGGTGTTTGATAGGGCATTTTGGTTGCTCTAGGTGGTTGCAACAGGATTTTTTTACACGTTTTTTGCATAGTCCAACAAAGGCTAAAATTGCACACATAATCGCTTATTTTCTTCAAATTCTTAAACCCAAGTACGAGTAATTGTAATAATGATACTTAGCAAACACCACTATTCATGCACATGAAAAATGTCTTAAAGAAAGAACATACAAGATTACAGCGTATATCAGCCTATAGAAGACCCACAAAAAACAAGTCAAGACTTGAAGAGGCACATGGGTACAGATAAGGAATTTCTGGCTTCTCAAGGCAATGATGTCAGTAAGAGAAGACAAAATAATAAGTTAAGATAAGAGATAATGCAGAGCAGACAGAGGACAAGACAATTGAGACAGAATAAAGTAAGCTAACTATGTCTCCAAGCCAGGATTTTGAAGATTTATACTTACACGTGCATAAATGTGTGTCCTGACACACTGTGCTGTTGAATGCTCTTATTCATAGCTGAACTCTGGCTACTGTAAGCATCTGAGCACGTGTGAACATGAGCAGACATTGGTAATCTGCACTCAAAATACCGCACCATGACAAAACATACAGCACTGAAGAAAAGGCCTACATAGCTTTCTGCTACGGTGATCGGAAACTCTGCAGACTCTGCAGATTTATGCTTTTTTTTTTCAAGCGTTTTCAAGTAAAACGCAAAAGCATTTTTAAAGAACCTTCAGAATTTTTATTTTAAGATGGACTATTCCAAAAGGTTTTTAAAACAAAAAAAAAATAAAAAGAAAAGAAAAAAAGTAAGAAAAAAAATACAAGTTAAAAATAAATAAATAAATTCTACATACATTCAAGATTATTTTATTTTTTTTGGCCACTGGCCACAACTTGCTCACTAGCATACTAGTAAAATTGCACACTATTTAATGTAAATCTGCTTTGAAATATATTTATTATGAAAAGCGCCATATAAATACATTTGAACTGAACTGAAAATGACCCATTAACCTGACAGAAAATAAAATATTTTCCACATAATATTCCAATATTATAAGAAAGCATGTTGGAAAAAAAACATGTTGTGTTCATAATATCACACTTACTATGTCACACAGTGCAAGTTTGGGACCAATAAGATTTTACATTGTTTCAAGAAGCTGCAAAATGCTGTTTAATAGGATAATAAAAGATTGATCAAATAAAACTTTAGGTTTCCACAAAAATATTAAGCAGTACAACTGTTTTCAACATTGATAATAATAAGAAATGTTTCTTGAGCAGCAAATCAGCATATTAGAATGATTTCTGAAGGATCATGTGACACTGAAGACTGGAGTAAAGGTTGCTGATATGCATATAGCCCTTTCTATAGTTTAAGAGGTCTGTGCCACTGAAAAGTTTAAAATCCTACTTTAAGCCATGAGCATCTAACTGTACATGTAATTGAATTGACCTATAAGCTAGCACACTTAGTCAAATGTAACAGTCGGCTCCAACATACTGCATCTAAACTACTAAACCACATGCTATAAAACTATCCAGAACTGCAAACATCTCATAAAAAATAACAACATTCACAAACAGGTGTGTCTCACCGTCCCTGTGCGGGAATGTTGGGAAAGCACAACGCCACTGAAAGGCATCTATACTGCCATAAGCCCTCACTGACAAGAGAGCTCTTGTGCTCATGTGAGCTTACATCATTCCTGCAGACAGTATGGAAAAACAACATGCTGTTCATCAGTTCTCACCTTCTAGACAGAGGGATGTCACCGATGACATGTATAATCACACTTCATTTCCTGGGAATGCTGGATGGGCAGCTTAGATATACATGTGTGTGTGTGTGTGTGTGTGTGTGTTATTATTATCAGCCCTAAGGCACATGAGGGGGTTAAGATGAGTTTGAAGGATGGTCATCTGTTTACACCTGCTCTGCATGCCTGAATCCCATCCTCCCTTCCTGCAAAAGTACTACTATCAGTCTGGGATAATTTGAGCATTCCAGCAACATTGATTAGGGATTCCTCTGAGGACCACAACTGGATTTGGGAATGCTTGCTACAGGGTATGAGGGAGGGTTGAGGTGGTGGGATCTGTGCATTCCAAACATAATTAACCGTTACCTCTTACAATCAGCTCTCAGACTGCCTAGGTCCAAAGTCCCTTTTATGGCAAGCCATTGCACTCAGCAGCCATCTTTGAAACGCCTCTCCAGCACGCAAGTGCAGCTCCTATCTCTTTGAATGGGGAAACATCAAATTCTCCAAAACTGTTCGCCAAGCTTAAGATTAAATTTCATATTTGAAAACACCAATGAAATCTGACAACAACTGTCTTATAAATGTTGTTTCTTTTGCTCAAATATCGTTCAGGCTAGATCAGCCAGTGCACATGCGCAGTCCTGAGCACACGTCACTGAACGCTGACTGTTTCTATAGCAACCGGGACTTCTAACGGCAGCTGCAGTGATGCGATGACTTTACCGATTAGCGATTGGCTCTTTTATTCAGAAGGCAGGGCTTCCTTAGGTAGAGCGGCCATATTGAGCGTTGCATTTTTCCCCATTCAAAACTAAACGAGTGGCACGTCTTGGGTATTCTATAGTCTTTGCTAGGACTTAACCTGACTTTCTCGCTATGTTTTTACTAAACTTAATGCAAAATGAGTTTGCTGTATCCTACTTGCTTCCATCATCATTATCACTATCCTAAACGTTTTCCTGAACAGGCATTTTTCTAGTTCCTTTGACATGGGAAGATCAGAGGGAGTGGGCTATCTGTGTTTGTCTTTCATATACTGGGAGGTCAAGTGGATAATTGTTGCTAGTTCAGTGTTCAGCCTGATGGTTCTGCTCTTAGCTACTCCTGCGAGTCTCTGGGAAAGAGCAGTGGGTGTTTTCTGCGTCACAGATGCTGTCCAGACTCTAATTAGATATCACTGCCAGAGTGTCTTATCTGTGTTTGTCCCATCTGCTCTAACACACACACACACACACACACACATTGGACTCAAAGGGAATTCTCATGGCTCTCCCAAACAAATGAAACAAAGTGAAACATGGCTCAGGTACTTCCATGAAGTTTTAGTATTTGAAGACCACAAAGGAAAAAGAATGAATGATTCAATGACTCAATCATAAAGACAATCACTTGTGTCATTCCAGAATAAATCATCAAACTAAAAAGGACAAGCTGAGATTGATAAATGATAAACTCATGAAGTCTCTCTCCCTGCCCTGCTCAGTGAAGTGTTTAAATAAAATTGAATGTATGGGCGCTGTGTATAGCCTTGATCAAGCATTAAGAGTCTTGAATCATTGGTGGACCCCCACCTCCTCTGCCATTGAAGAGTCCTAAAAGAGGAAGCAGGAAACAAGAGCCAGCACCCTCCAGCCCAGCGCAGTCGGAAAGCCTTTTGTGCTCCTCTGGGAACTCGCTGAGAGGTTAGATGTGGTCAAGGCAGGTGCCCTCTCATTCAGCACCATGAATCACCATAGTGCTATATTAGACATGGTTCAGTCTCAACTGCAACCAGTTTTAAATTGTGGTCTAGATCCGCATCAACAAGGAACAGCTGTGACTGACCACTGAAGTGATACAAGAAGATCATAAATCAGATGCAAGCTCTTTATTCATTATTATCTCATAAAACGTATACAATTTAACAACAATTTATTAAAATTTTTACAAAAAGCGCCAATTTCAATCGGATTTGCACAAAAATCAGATTTGGGCTGACAGTCTGTACGAGGCTATATAGAGACTCCAGCTCTGACCTCACTGTTGGCTCTCACAGAAGGTTCAGGCTGGTCATCATTTGAATCAGAACCAGAGCGGTGGTCTAATCTCTTTCTTTTACTTTCTCTACATTCTGACGTGCCAGAAGTCTTTCTTTTTCTTTTTAAACCGTGTCTCATCTCAACCTGACTGACTGAGCTTTGGTCAGAATGTGTTCTGGATCTTTCAGTTCTGGCCTCACTGTTCTCTCTGTTAGAAGGTTCAGGCTGTTCATCATCTCTGGATGTCTCTCCAAGTGAAGCTGGAGAAGAAAAGCCTGAGCTGAGGGAATCACTAGAAGAATCAGTATTGGAACCAGAATCAGACCAGTGGTCTGATCTCCTCCCTTTCCATTCTCTGCTCTCTGACCTGCCATGCTCTCTTTTTCTTTTAACACCCTGTCTCATCTTAACCTGACTGCCTGAGCTTTGGTCAGAAGGTGCTCTGGATCCTCCAGGTCTATCCTCACTGTTGTTGACCAGATCAGAAGGTCCAGGCTGTTCATCATCCATGCTGGACCCATTTATAGGTGATCCTCTCGCTCTGGCCTCACTGTTGCTGACCAGGTGAGAAGGTTCAGGCTGTTCATCATCTGTGCTGGACTCACTCACAGATGTCTCAGATGGGGTATTAATATACACGGGATAAAATGCAATTTCCAAGGCCTCACCTGATGCATAAAAAGCAATGGACCAGTAATCTGCATTCCAGGCCAGCATGGAGAGCAATGGATTGTGGTCAGGACCAGGAGTCAGAGGATACCGAGAAAGTTGAGTGAGAGATCTTCTGGGCTGTGTTATATTCAGAAATAGTATTTATTTATCTGCTGTTATTAAATATTCAGGTTTTCAGGTAATAAAATGCTTGAAAAAAAAACTATTTAAAATAACATTTTTGAAAACAAAATGTGCATTACCCATTCAACAATGTGTCAAAAATGTAAAAATCCATCTTATATAAAATTATCTTATGTATATATATATATATATATATATATATATATATACATATCAATCTATCTATCTATTTAAACAAAGCTATAAAATTTGATAATATATAAAATAAATATAAAAAACTTCCCAGAATACATTGTTTCAAACTTCCAAACAATTAAAATATCCAACCTAGTCTCAGAATGAATAATCAAAAACAATTGATCATCAGCACACATGTCAAAGAGAGGCACTATTTAAAAAAAAAACAAAAAAAACTTTATGCATGTACTTTGTGCAAGGAACTCAGACTTGGTGTGAATGGGCCTTACAGAGCATGTATAGTACTATAGTAAAGAGCAGTGGACTGCACACCTACTCAGTTGCTATGGGCTTTACTTGTTCCCTCTCTCCATCTCCTCTCCTCTTCTTCCGCCCATCACTGCATTTTTTATCTTTACACCACATCCTGACATGATGTATGTTTCTGTCTGTGTATAGACATCAGTGTTGCTCTGCAGGAATTCACAGGAAAGGAACCGATCCTCCACAGAAGTTCCGCAACCTCAGCGTTCCAACTCCAAAATAATGGCCTGCTTATGAGGAGAACAGGAGGAGGAGGGATTACCATGGCAATGGGGGATGCCGAAACAGCTGCGAGAGTCCGGGCACATGTCATAAATCCTGTAACATGGTTAGCTGGTATGTACATGAGTGGGTGAAGTGAACCTGCGATGGGTCACTCCAGAGTTCAAAGCTCAAACACAGCTGCTGCCCCCCTCCAGAGACAGAATGTGATGGGGGGTAACAGATCCCACCCTTACAGCCCATTCCACACATGCCTGTGAGAGCCGTGTTAACTGCCATCAATTCATAGCTACACATTTACAAAAAACAGCACAGACACTAGAGGATCTTCTTACCGGTTCTCACCTCTCAAACAAATAAACACTATAACACCACCCCATGTAACCTCGGGACATGAGTCACTGGATACTTTTTCTCTTTCAAAACACAAAAATGTACCACAAGTTCCTTTTTTACATTTTCTGAAGAAAATATGACTGATACCTGCCCTGTGCCCCTGTGCGATTTCTAGGGTGTTTGATAGGGCATTTTGGTTGCTCTAGGTGGTTGCAACAGGATTTTTTTACACGTTTTTTGCATAGTCCAACAAAGGCTAAAATTGCACACATAATCGCTTATTTTCTTCAAATTCTTAAACCCAAGTACGAGTAATTGTAATAATGATACTTAGCAAACACCACTATTCATGCACATGAAAAATGTCTTAAAGAAAGAACATACAAGATTACAGCGTATATCAGCCTATAGAAGACCCACAAAAAACAAGTCAAGACTTGAAGAGGCACATGGGTACAGATAAGGAATTTCTGGCTTCTCAAGGCAATGATGTCAGTAAGAGAAGACAAAATAATAAGTTAAGATAAGAGATAATGCAGAGCAGACAGAGGACAAGACAATTGAGACAGAATAAAGTAAGCTAACTATGTCTCCAAGCCAGGATTTTGAAGATTTATACTTACACGTGCATAAATGTGTGTCCTGACACACTGTGCTGTTGAATGCTCTTATTCATAGCTGAACTCTGGCTACTGTAAGCATCTGAGCACGTGTGAACATGAGCAGACATTGGTAATCTGCACTCAAAATACCGCACCATGACAAAACATACAGCACTGAAGAAAAGGCCTACATAGCTTTCTGCTACGGTGATCGGAAACTCTGCAGACTCTGCAGATTTATGCTTTTTTTTTTCAAGCGTTTTCAAGTAAAACGCAAAAGCATTTTTAAAGAACCTTCAGAATTTTTATTTTAAGATGGACTATTCCAAAAGGTTTTTAAAACAAAAAAAAAATAAAAAGAAAAGAAAAAAAGTAAGAAAAAAAATACAAGTTAAAAATAAATAAATAAATTCTACATACATTCAAGATTATTTTATTTTTTTTGGCCACTGGCCACAACTTGCTCACTAGCATACTAGTAAAATTGCACACTATTTAATGTAAATCTGCTTTGAAATATATTTATTATGAAAAGCGCCATATAAATACATTTGAACTGAACTGAAAATGACCCATTAACCTGACAGAAAATAAAATATTTTCCACATAATATTCCAATATTATAAGAAAGCATGTTGGAAAAAAAACATGTTGTGTTCATAATATCACACTTACTATGTCACACAGTGCAAGTTTGGGACCAATAAGATTTTACATTGTTTCAAGAAGCTGCAAAATGCTGTTTAATAGGATAATAAAAGATTGATCAAATAAAACTTTAGGTTTCCACAAAAATATTAAGCAGTACAACTGTTTTCAACATTGATAATAATAAGAAATGTTTCTTGAGCAGCAAATCAGCATATTAGAATGATTTCTGAAGGATCATGTGACACTGAAGACTGGAGTAAAGGTTGCTGATATGCATATAGCCCTTTCTATAGTTTAAGAGGTCTGTGCCACTGAAAAGTTTAAAATCCTACTTTAAGCCATGAGCATCTAACTGTACATGTAATTGAATTGACCTATAAGCTAGCACACTTAGTCAAATGTAACAGTCGGCTCCAACATACTGCATCTAAACTACTAAACCACATGCTATAAAACTATCCAGAACTGCAAACATCTCATAAAAAATAACAACATTCACAAACAGGTGTGTCTCACCGTCCCTGTGCGGGAATGTTGGGAAAGCACAACGCCACTGAAAGGCATCTATACTGCCATAAGCCCTCACTGACAAGAGAGCTCTTGTGCTCATGTGAGCTTACATCATTCCTGCAGACAGTATGGAAAAACAACATGCTGTTCATCAGTTCTCACCTTCTAGACAGAGGGATGTCACCGATGACATGTATAATCACACTTCATTTCCTGGGAATGCTGGATGGGCAGCTTAGATATACATGTGTGTGTGTGTGTGTGTGTGTGTGTTATTATTATCAGCCCTAAGGCACATGAGGGGGTTAAGATGAGTTTGAAGGATGGTCATCTGTTTACACCTGCTCTGCATGCCTGAATCCCATCCTCCCTTCCTGCAAAAGTACTACTATCAGTCTGGGATAATTTGAGCATTCCAGCAACATTGATTAGGGATTCCTCTGAGGACCACAACTGGATTTGGGAATGCTTGCTACAGGGTATGAGGGAGGGTTGAGGTGGTGGGATCTGTACATAATTAACATAATTAACCGTTACCTCTTACAATCAGCTCTCAGACTGCCTAGGTCCAAAGTCCCTTTTCATTGCACTCATTGCACTCAGCAGCCATCTTTGAAACGCCTCTCCAGCACGCAAGTGCAGCTCCTATCTCTTTGAATGGGGAAACATCAAATTCTCCAAAACTGTTCGCCAAGCTTAAGATTAAATTTCATATTTGAAAACACCAATGAAATCTGACAACAACTGTCTTATAAATGTTGTTTCTTTTGCTCAAATATCGTTCAGGCTAGATCAGCCAGTGCACATGCGCAGTCCTGAGCACACGTCACTGAACGCTGACTGTTTCTATAGCAACCGGGACTTCTAACGGCAGCTGCAGTGATGCGATGACTTTACCGATTAGCGATTGGCTCTTTTATTCAGAAGGCAGGGCTTCCTTAGGTAGAGCGGCCATATTGAGCGTTGCATTTTTCCCCATTCAAAACTAAACGAGTGGCACGTCTTGGGTATTCTATAGTCTTTGCTAGGACTTAACCTGACTTTCTCGCTATGTTTTTACTAAACTTAATGCAAAATGAGTTTGCTGTATCCTACTTGCTTCCATCATCATTATCACTATCCTAAACGTTTTCCTGAACAGGCATTTTTCTAGTTCCTTTGACATGGGAAGATCAGAGGGAGTGGGCTATCTGTGTTTGTCTTTCATATACTGGGAGGTCAAGTGGATAATTGTTGCTAGTTCAGTGTTCAGCCTGATGGTTCTGCTCTTAGCTACTCCTGCGAGTCTCTGGGAAAGAGCAGTGGGTGTTTTCTGCGTCACAGATGCTGTCCAGACTCTAATTAGATATCACTGCCAGAGTGTCTTATCTGTGTTTGTCCCATCTGCTCTAACACACACACACACACACACACACATTGGACTCAAAGGGAATTCTCATGGCTCTCCCAAACAAATGAAACAAAGTGAAACATGGCTCAGGTACTTCCATGAAGTTTTAGTATTTGAAGACCACAAAGGAAAAAGAATGAATGATTCAATGACTCAATCATAAAGACAATCACTTGTGTCATTCCAGAATAAATCATCAAACTAAAAAGGACAAGCTGAGATTGATAAATGATAAACTCATGAAGTCTCTCTCCCTGCCCTGCTCAGTGAAGTGTTTAAATAAAATTGAATGTATGGGCGCTGTGTATAGCCTTGATCAAGCATTAAGAGTCTTGAATCATTGGTGGACCCCCACCTCCTCTGCCATTGAAGAGTCCTAAAAGAGGAAGCAGGAAACAAGAGCCAGCACCCTCCAGCCCAGCGCAGTCGGAAAGCCTTTTGTGCTCCTCTGGGAACTCGCTGAGAGGTTAGATGTGGTCAAGGCAGGTGCCCTCTCATTCAGCACCATGAATCACCATAGTGCTATATTAGACATGGTTCAGTCTCAACTGCAACCAGTTTTAAATTGTGGTCTAGATCCGCATCAACAAGGAACAGCTGTGACTGACCACTGAAGTGATACAAGAAGATCATAAATCAGATGCAAGCTCTTTATTCATTATTATCTCATAAAACGTATACAATTTAACAACAATTTATTAAAATTTTTACAAAAAGGGCCAATTTCAATCGGATTTGCACAAAAATCAGATTTGGGCTGACAGTCTGTACGAGGCTATATAGAGACTCCAGCTCTGACCTCACTGTTGGCTCTCACAGAAGGTTCAGGCTGGTCATCATTTGAATCAGAACCAGAGCGGTGGTCTAATCTCTTTCTTTTACTTTCTCTACATTCTGACGTGCCAGAAGTCTTTCTTTTTCTTTTTAAACCGTGTCTCATCTCAACCTGACTGACTGAGCTTTGGTCAGAATGTGTTCTGGATCTTTCAGTTCTGGCCTCACTGTTCTCTCTGTTAGAAGGTTCAGGCTGTTCATCATCTCTGGATGTCTCTCCAAGTGAAGCTGGAGAAGAAAAGCCTGAGCTGAGGGATTCACTAGAAGAATCAGTATTGGAACCAGAATCAGACCAGTGGTCTGATCTCCTCCCTTTCCATTCTCTGCTCTCTGACCTGCCATGCTCTCTTTTTCTTTTAACACCCTGTCTCATCTTAACCTGACTGCCTGAGCTTTGGTCAGAAGGTGCTCTGGATCCTCCAGGTCTATCCTCACTGTTGTTGACCAGATCAGAAGGTCCAGGCTGTTCATCATCCATGCTGGACCCATTTATAGGTGATCCTCTCGCTCTGGCCTCACTGTTGCTGACCAGGTGAGAAGGTTCAGGCTGTTCATCATCTGTGCTGGACTCACTCACAGATGTCTCAGATGGGGTATTAATATACACGGGATAAAATGCAATTTCCAAGGCCTCACCTGATGCATAAAAAGCAATGGACCAGTAATCTGCATTCCAGGCCAGCATGGAGAGCAATGGATTGTGGTCAGGACCAGGAGTCAGAGGATACCGAGAAAGTTGAGTGAGAGATCTTCGAAGCAAGTCTACAAAAAAACCTGCGTTGAGAGCAGTGAAGCGACGTGGTATGCGTATCTGTGGAAGAGTCCTCCAGATATCCCCGTCTATAACTGTTGCGTTAATCACATATTGTGTCCAAAATTCAATCAAAAGTAACTCATCGATATCATCTAACTGAATGACAACTGCAGGGAGGTTACCACCAAAAGGGTCACCTTCAGCCATCTCAACTAGATACTAATGTACTGAACTGCAAACTGCTATTTTATCTGTAAAAGTCACCTGCTCTGTTTATAGCATCTGCTTGGAATCCTGGCTGTGATGTCATCGGTGTGATCATTTGAACAATCTTCATTTAAAAAACAACAAATTCTGCACAGCTGTGAATGTTCTATAATGCTGAACTATAATAATTAATAATAATAATAATTTATGCATTTATCCAAAGCGACTAAAGCCCCGTTCACACCAAGAACGATAACTATAAAGATAACGATATTGGCGTCCACACCAGCGAACGATATCGTCTGTTTATTCTAAGCGCACATGCGTCTGCCGCATTAAATTCTTGAGCTCGTTACAGCAGGATGGATTCTGATTGGCTGTCAGTGTTTTATCGTTCATCAGCTGGAAAAAAATAGTTTTGAAAGTGATCACAACGATATCGTTCCTCTGTATCGTTATGGTGTGAACTATGCTATTCTTTAATATTGAGAAAGATTTTTAGAACTATATCTTTATCGTTATCTTTATAGTTATTGTGCTTGGTGTGAACGGGGGCCTTTACAGTGCATTCAGGCTATACATTTTTTACCAGTAGCCTATGTGTGTTCCCTGGGAATTGAACCCACGACCTTTTGCGCAGCCCTACCACTGAGCCACAGGAACATTTGTGGTAGCAATATTGTTACATTAATTACATTACATTACATTGATATTGAACTACAGCATTATAAAAACAGATACAGATATTAAAACATGCTCCTATAGAAGAGCATTCGGGAGTGGATTGGGAGTGACAACAATATTTAAATTCTGGATTGAAACAGAAATTGTGATGATTGACACTGATAACCATAGAAATGTATTGGGAAAAAATTCCCTGATTCTCTTTTAGTTTCTATCGCAAAACTGCACCGAAACTGCCACCTAATCAGGCAGGAATGTTAGGCAGAATCTTAAGGAAGCTGCTCAGCCCTTTTTGTAGAAACTGAAGCAAAAAATACTCAAAATACAGTGTTTGAGGAGTGATGGGTTGTTACAAGCAAGTATCCCCAAGCTGCTTCACGTCATCTGTATTTGGAGCCCTCCTCTCTCATTCAATCTTTTATGGCCCTTCAAATGGAGGTCTTTTTTGGCTTGTTTATCTGCCCTGTTTATCTCAGATGGAGAGAAGGATGGATTTATCACACTTTCTGTCATTCCTCTCCTGGGTTCTCATGCTTGGGGGCAGAGTTTAGAAATCCTTTTAAAGGACACACTGGAAATGTTCATCAGAACTATGGTGCCATGTTTTAATGCATCTACTGTATACTATATAGACGACATACAGAATATAGTCGCTTTCATGGGCGTCAGTGGCATGCTGAAATCTACTTGTAAGATTTTTAAAGTGCCTCCTTCACAACTTTCTTGGCCAGTTTCTCTGTCTCTTGATTAAAAGTGGGGCCTAAAAAAAGGGGAAAGGCCAGAGAAAAAAAGCCCCCTTCAGGGCAAAGGGAGGGGGGGATGGTATTTATATCCCTCTATTTGCCCCCTTAACCAAAGTGACCCCTCTCCACAACAAACACACTTCCCTCCCCTCTCAGGCCCAACCCAACCAATGAGCCACTGAATGGATGAAAGACTCCAACAACAGCTCTTGTTGACCCGACAAAAACAAACATTTACTCTCTCATTAACAAGGCCAGCGCTCTGTTCTTGCATTCACTCCGTCCTTTTCTATCTTTTCAGTAGCCTTTACTTTAAATTCCAAAAAAAAAACCACTATCATCTATCAATGTGGAGATGGAGGATTCAAGAACAAAAAAGGCAAAGAATGAGAGAAAGATGAAAGAAAAAGAATGGCCAGGAGGAACTAATAATTTAGCGCATTCAGGCGAATAATTCTATTTCTATGTAATGATTCACTGCGTACTGTTACCGTCAGCAGCGATGGGTAAAGCTGCCAGTTCAGCTGAGTGTGAATTCGCATCTATTCATCAGAGGAAATAATATGAGACATCCACAGAGCCTAAACCACAGACTGAACTTTACGCCAATGTGCCCAAAATGTAGAAAGAAACTTTTGTGCATGAACCGATCACATTAGCATAAAACTATTAATAGCTCGACTTCATAATGTCAGCTCATTCAAATGACTAAGAGCTGCTGAGAAATGAAATATGGAAAATTCAGATAACATTCTGATTCAGTGCAATGCTAGATATCTCACTATATAAAGTCTAAAGGGGAATGTGCTCTGAGATGTTTGTTTATACCACTGGTCATTCTGGAAAATCCAGATAAAAACATGGTAGCTGGTTTTACACAGTTTTTAGTTGAACAATGACTATAAAGATAAATGTAACAACATATCTATGACAAGTCTGACTGGCTATCAACATTTTTTTTATCATACATCACCCGGGAAAAAATCATTCTGAAAGTGATTCCAATGATATCGTTCCTCTGTGTCGTTATCGTTATACTTCCCTTTTCTCATAGAATTATAATGAGTATTAAAACTTCATCGTTAAAGTTCATTATAGTTACTGTCCTTAGTGTAAACAGGGCTTAAATGTTGTGTAAAATAAGTTCTACATCCTTGCTTTCTAGATCATAATTGGCACTGGCCTACAGCAGCCCCAAAAAAACTATTTAGACACTTCAGCCACAATTAAAAATGTAAAAATGCATTTGCATTACATATCAAATAATCAAAACAAGACACATTTACTTTAAAGAAATATAGCACAAGCACAGTTTTTAGTCAAAACACCTCACAAGTTTGTTAGACTCCAAAATATAAAACAAATATAAAGTTCAAATGAATAAATATAAAATATTTTGGACACTTTCTGATTGCCAAACTTTGTGCAACATGTACATTTGTTAATATAATTAACTACATCAGTAGTTATTCTCTTCATACATCCACGAAAAATGACCTTGAGATCAAAATGTGGCTCAGAAAGTGAAGACAATTCAGAGAAAACTCTGTTAAGATCTTCCTCTAATGCCAGCCAGAACTTCCCTTTAAAGTAGATCCATCAATAAGCAGAAGATTTTACCTCGCCAAAATACCCTCATGCATATCACCCACCCTTATTCACAGCATAAAGGTGAGAAGTCACAGCTACAGTATATGCATTCATAAGCAGCTCCTAATGTGTGAACATGAGCTTGAATTGTGTTTATAGGAAACCAGCATCCTATATCTAAGAAACCAAAAATGTCAAGGCACATTTTAGATCTACATATTCCTTCACTCTTGATTGACCATTACATCAGCCAACTTTGGTTTGTCACTGATAGTTAATCAGCAGACTTATGAAGCAGCGATAGGTCTAATCTGTAGACATGTCGCCTGTGAATGAGTTATCTTGCACTCAAGAGTCAGATAAGCAAGGTCACGCTGCAGGTTTGTGTACCTATCCACAGAAAGGCTTCAGGACCTCCCGTTTGTTTCAGCTCCCAGACTGCGGTGTCTGAGAGGCCTTGGAGACGTGGAGGTGGGTTTCTTTCTCTACTGCACGAAGGAACAGGTTTTGACAGGAATCGGGGGCATTGCTGAACTCTGCCACATTTCTGTTTGAAAACCACTACGACAGCCCCCACATGCCATTTCAAATTCTCCCGCCTCGTTTTGGGGGTCAATTGTTCATTCGGGTTTTATGTTTTTCTTGAAGGCTACCTCCTGGCCAGAAGGAGGAGAACGTGAGGATCCCTGAGGAGGTGTGAATTGTTCTCATTCATTCCAATGTGACATGAAACAACAGCTTTCAAGTCCAACAGATCTACAAGCATGCTTTTGTTAAAAGTCAATGACTAAAAATTATTAAGAAAATGTACTGGGCATGGATATAAAAGTACATGTAAATTTAATGTTACTAATTGTGAAAAATAATTAGTTTTTAAAAAGTATTAAAATTAATCACGCTACTTGAAATGTCTGTTTTTTAATGTTTTGTCAGCCGATAATTTCATGTCTCTGAATTGTCTTCACTTAGGAATTGAAATAACATAAATACTGATAATTATGATTAATTGT